ACAAAACTGAAGATATTAAATTTTCAAGACATTGCTTTTTCTCATGTTGAAAAGATCTTTTGTGTCTTAGCTAAATTATTAATGTATATGCATGCATGTTACCAGAAGTGCTAAGTCTGAGTAATCCTTATTAATGTACTTGGTTGCAGCAGAGACCACTAGATTGCATAGCTCCTAGTATACGGTGCTTTTCTAATGGACATGACTTTACTCTTAGCATATTAATAAATTATAGACCTAACAATCCTGCATCTGAGGTCTTGTTATGTTTTAAGAGCTTTTGAAGTTCATGAAATATGGAAGTAGTTTTACTGAGACATTAGCAGTATTTTGCATCTGTAGCACTACCAGAAGAATCAAAAGGTCAGATTCATGCAATACATTACCAGATCTGGTACTAAATGTGAAAGAATACACTGCTTCTGTTGCACATACAGTAGCTGATCTTATCAAAGCAAAAATTAATTTTCATGGATGCTGTTTCCTTGTTATTTGGGGAAATTTATATTGGTGCCTTTCAATTTTAACAATATACTGACATGATTAATGGTATTTGCCATGTTAAAATAGAATTTTCTACTGCACGTCACTTTTTCATCCCATCCCCCCAAAAGTTTGATATTTTTAAAAGGAAACTCTGATATCTGTATTATTCAACCAGAATAAAGCAACATACTATATTATAAATTACATTATATTATAGTACAATATAACGTAAAACAATTACATTAGGTTATATAGGTTATCAAATTCAGAATCCCCCAAATGCTTGCAGTAAAATAAGAACAAAAATGCTGGAAAATGCAGTCATGGTTCTTTCACAAACAGCTTGTCCCTTAGCAAACTGATACTTTTGTTACATACCATTTTCCTCACTTCTATGAATAGGATCACTGTATTGGCATTGTGCATAGTGTTACTATGCACCACCCATTTACATAGATATTTGAACAGGTGTGTACTGTGTGGAGACAGGTGAGGAATTAAGGGATTTTTTTCCAGAGGTATGGCATCCGTTTGCCAGATTTATGAACTGCCCTTTCAGAGATTAAGGGATAACTCTTTAATTCAAAGAACTATCCAAATTATATATGTTTTTATTTTTATAATTAGTATAGTCATACCCTGGTTCATGGACTGATATACTATTTTAGTAGTTCCACCATATTCTCTAACTTTCTATCTATGGGTTAAAAAGGGAAAGAAGGCAGTGTAGAACTAGTAAGGCACAAGTTGCCATATTCCTGAAAAGCTTAGATGCTTGTGGAAGTAGTAAATTGAGATTACTACAGATTTAGAAGACAAAAGGAGAAGAAATAGAACATAAGTGATTATCATTGCTTTGTTCTTAACTAGAGAGAACAGAAGGACTTGGACAAATTATAATTAAGAAGAAAAATAAAATATGGACCATAACAAAAGTACATACAGCATAGACTTCCATATTGTATAAAACTCTACTGTAACATATGCAAGAAATATCTTGTCTCTGCAGTTTGACCTCACCCTATCAGTTGCGGTGGCTGAAACATGCCAAATGAAATAATGAGTCCTAGTAGATTTGGAGAATGAGGCTTTAATTTTGCTTTGCTTTACTAATGGCTGAAAACATGTTTCTCTGCATTTGCCTGCCAAAATTAATTGCCTACAATAATTTTTAAATGTGCATTTGATATAGTACATGTTAATTTCATAATGTAAGAAAGAATAGTATCTCACTGTTAGGCAGTCCAATGCTGTAGTTTGTGCCCATTTGTG